CTTTAGCCGAGGGAAAACTTATTTATACGGGGGTTTTGATTTTTTTTACTTTTCCCCACAAACCCATGTGTTATTTATTTTTTTCCCCCGAACAAATACTGTGATTGTTTAAATTTTGTCAACAAATCAAACCCGAAAACAAAAAAAAAACCAAGAGAAGCAATAACAAAAACTCCCCTTACCTTGAAATTTTAAAAGTTTTTACGGGTTTCCCTATTTGAAAAGCTTTTTTTTCTTTTATTTTTAAAGGAAATTGATGATATCTACAATTCTTTAAAACATAAAATAAGCTGTGTTTTTTTTAGAAAAAAAAACACTAACCCTTTATAAGGTTTAATCTGTAAAAATTTTGATCGTTCTGTACCCAAAGGAATATTTTTTCGCAGGGTTTTTGAAAAAGTCCCTTTTTAAAAAATAAGGGATGATACCCTTTACAATTTGTCCCCCAAAACCTTTTCTGTAACTTTTTCACTGGTTAAAAATTGTTAAAAAATCTTTTTTTTTCATGCTTTAATTCGTTGATTTTCCTTTTTGGGACAAAAAATTTTGTTCACATTACAAATTTTCCCGTTAAAAAAAGGGATTTTCCCTTTTTTGGACTTTTTCTTGAACAAAAAGATTTTTATCCCGCAAAAGGAACTTAGTTGAAAAGAACAAAATTTTTGGGAGTAATAGTTATTTTCCGGCGCCCTTTTATGGGTCAAAAAAATTAAGAATGAATCGGGGAAAAAAAGGGGCGGCCTTTTTTTATTTTTTTTAAAAATAGACCACGTAAACCAGTTTTTATACTTTAAAAAAATACTGTTACCTATGAAAACAGTACAAAATTTTTGTAAAGGTGGTCCCACTTGCATTAACATTTAAAAATAACCCCCAGAGGCCTATGGGAAATTAGCTTTTACAAAAAAATTTTGGGGGGTAAAAATTTTTTATTTTTATGACGATGAGCTGTATTCTTAAGTCTTAAATAAAACTTCTATTGTTAAAGTTCTTTTTCTATAATCGGGTTTTTCCTTTGTCCTAGTAGGGTTTTCCCCCCAAGTACAAAAGGGAACCATTTCTTTTCTCTTTTGTTTTTTGTGTTTTAATTTTTTATAAAAGTTTTTTCCCTTTTTACCGCTTCATTTTTTTGTAACTGCCCAAAAACAAAATTTTAATAAAATGATAACCCTTTTTTTTGTTTTTTCCCTTTTTTCAATTAAACATTTTTAAAATTTTAGTATTTTTTTTAAATCTATTTTGGGGTTTAAAAAAAATTTTTGGGAAAACCCAATGTGAATTTTTTATATTTTTTGGGAGAAATCGAAAAATGCCCCTTCTAGGTTTGTTTTTGGCTTAGTTCGGGTCTTTTTTTAAACAAGTTTTTATCATAACGGTTCTCCCTTTTGCGCATTTTTCCCCTTAAAGGGCCAAAAGGAAATTTTTTAATTTCAAATTGAAAGCTTTTCATTTATCACCTTATTTTTTTCAAGTTTTTTTTCCCTTTTTCTTTTTTTTTAAACTCATGTATTTTTTTACGATTTTTCCCCAAGGTTTAAAATTTTGAAAAAGATTTTTGAAATTTAAGAACATATAAAAAGGGGGAGTTTTAATTGTTTTTTTTTAAAATTTTTTTAAAATTTAAAAAATTTACCGGATTTACTTGACAAAAAAAAAATATTCCCTTTACTTTTCAGATAAAATGTAAAAATTTTACTTTTACAAATCAAATGTATTTTTTTTCAATGATTCCAATTGGGGTTTAAAAAATGAATTCTATTTTTTTCCCTTTTTTCTGATATATATAATACTAGTTTGTTTTAAAATATGTGTGTCTTACGAGAGTTTTTCAGTCTTTAAAAGATAAACCCACTTAAAAGGAAAAAATTTTTTATTTGCTTTCATTTTAAAAGTTCAGTTTAACATTAGTTTTGCCGGGGGGCCCATTTGGGAAAGGGGTCTGCCTCTCAACCCCGGATTCATGGGTTGGCCCTTTCGGGGCACATCATGATTCCTTATATGACAAACCCTTTTCTTTTTTTGGTTCCGGGAAGCGGACCGGGGGGTGATTTTATATTTAAATTTTTTATAAACTTTTTTCGCAAACGAGCTTAAATAAATTATTTTAAACTAAAACATTTTTTTTTGCCCCAAAAACGCAAGTTTTGCAGATATTGATTGGGGTAGCGAGAGTTTCCCCAAAATCGTTTTTGTTAAAAATACGCTAGGGGTTTTCGTTTTGGGCCCCGAGGCTTTTATTTAGGGTTTACAGTACCCATAATAATGACTAATCTGTAGTGTTCCCCGCGCTTTTTTTACATTCCCGGGAATAGATATTAAATATTCCCGAACTGTATTTTGTCCTTTTATCCTTTTTTTACGTTAAAAAGTTTTGGGTCTGTGCCTTTTAAGGGTAGATATAATTTTTTTTCAGGGCTATTTTCGATATTTCTTTTCGTAGTTTTTTTGTTCGGTTTTTTTAAATTTTACTGTGGTAAATTAAAAAATAAATTAAATTTTATTTCGTGTCAGTTGCCCCTTTTTTAACAAAAAAACCCTTGAAATCTAGGGGGTACTCATTTTAAAGGGGAAAACACCCCTTTTAATCAGTTGGGTTTAAAAAAAATTTTGGAACAATTAAAAAAAACATATTTCAGTTTTTTCGAGTTACATTTAGAAAAATAATATTTCACAAATTTGGGGTCCTTTTAGAATTTTTTTCTAATTTGTTTGGGCCCCTGTCTAAATTGGTTTTTATATATTACAAATTTTCCCCCCAGCTAGATTTTTGGAACGAAGGTTTGTTCTACTCCCCAGTGCTCGTTTTTGACTTTTAAATAAAATTTTCGATGGGCACCTTTTGGTTTTTCCCAATTTTGTTTTAAAGGGTTTATTTAAATTGCCTTTTGTTTGGGGCGACATTAAATGAACCAAAATAAACCATTTTTCGCTTTAAAAAAGTCAATAAAAACCACCCCAATCAAACTATTCAAAGGAAAACGTAACTCAAAAAAACATGCTATTTTATGGTCTTATTTTGTCTGCTGGGGGTTTTTTTTTTCTTGCCCAATTTCCTTAGGGGAAATTTTAAGAAAAATTTTTAAAAAAAAAACTAACATTTTTAAATATTTTTTAAAATTTGGGAGTTTCATTTACTTAAACTTTGAAAAGAAAAAACTATTTTCTATTGAAATTCAAAATGTTTTTTATTTTGACAAAAAACTAGGGAAAAAAACAAACCAAAAAAAAAACAAAAAAAATTTTCCCGACCCTTGTTACCCTTTATTTCTTTCCCTTTTATTTCCCCAAAAAAATAATTTTTTAAATTTTTAACACACAAAAATTAAATATTTTTACCCAATTTTTTTCTGATAATTAATTTTTGAAGATTTTTAAAACAATCAATCAACGATCCCAAATTTAACCCAAACAATCAATCTTTTTCCTTAAGTTTTAGTGTTTAAAAACCCCCGGGGCACCCCCCCAAAGCCCTTAAAGTTTCATGTTAAAATTTTTACAAGCTTTGCCCAAAAATTTTTCCCAGCCCTTTAAAAGGGAAATTTTTTTCAAACATCTATTTAACATTGAGGTTAGTCATTTCTGGAGTCTTAGTCATTTTACGTGACGATAATCACCATCCGGCCCTACATTAATCTCTTATTCCAATATACAAGGAATAGATTCGGTGCTGGGCTCTTCCCGCTTCATTCGACATTAAATGAGGGAATCCCCGGGTTGTTTTTTTTCTCCTTAACCTTTAGGGGGAAATTTCCCTATGACCCCAAAGGGCGGTAAAATTTGGAGGTTGACAGGGTTTGTTTAAAACGCTCCGGTTTCGCCCCAAAAAAGGGACAGGGGCGGGGCGACCCCTTTTTCCCCCACCCCTTTTTGGCCGGGGGCAGTGTTTCTGGCAGTCCCGCCCAAAATCAACCCAATGCTTACCAACTACAGGAATTTTTTTCTCCCGTTTTTGTCCTTTAGGATCATTTTAATCCCAAAAAACTTTTTAAAATGGCCTTATAAATAAATTTACAGCAAATTTTTTTCTAATTTTTAAAATTTCCCCCTTTTTAAAGATTTTTTAATTTCCTACGGGTAACACGGATATTTTTATAAAATCTTTAGATGTTTTGGGAAAAAGCCTATTTTTTTATTTAAAAAAAAGGTTGGATAAAAATTTTTTTAGATTTTAGACATTTGTTTTATACTTTATGCCCAAAAAATTTGTTTAAATTTCAATTTATCTGTTTAACACATCAAAATTTTTCAATTTTTTTGGAAAAAAATACATTTTTCCCCCAACTTTCGAGGGTTTAAAAAAATGGTTTATTTTTTGGATTTTCCCCACGAAACCCCGGTTTTCTTTGGGGCGTTAGAGATGTTTTTTATTTTCTCTATGAATGACTCAAAAAAAACCGAGTTTTCTATTTTTTTAACAAATTTTTCAAAGGGGGTTTCCGCTTTTCAGAATTTGTTTTCATTAAAATCAACTTCAAATTTTATTCTTTTGTTTCTTTATTTACAAAGAGATGGGTTCAAAATAATCAACGTAAAAAAGAAATGAGCTACGTATATAAATTGTTTAATGCCATCTTTTGGTATACTTCAAACATGAATATATTTTGAACTCCTTAACGGCAGAACAACTGTTTTGAGATAAATAAACAGTACAAAATTATTTGAGAATTTGTTTTTGGCTAGATGCCATCTGAAATCAGTTTGACTTCCTGTAAAACTTACAGGAAAGAACTGAATACAAGAAGAATTATCATTGGTCATTTTGAATTAAAAATTGAAATCTAAGAATCTCATTGGTCTTTCTAAAATAAATAAAGGAAAGTTCTTGCCATTCTGAAAGAGAATGTTACGGATAGTTCTAAAATAAGATTGACAGGATAGTTCTTTAATTTTCTAGTTAAATTGCTAAGATATAAACTCCCACAAAACAATTACACTGCGTTTATATCTCATTATATATATATATAGTTTCTAGTAAACAGTTTATTTTAACTTTTTCGCAAATGCATTATGTTGGTTTTGTCGTGGCGCGGCTCATATCAGGTACCCTCAGGTCATGATGTTAAAAAAAGCTGATTGGTTCATTTTATATAATGTTTATAATTCTAGAATTTATTATCCTTTCATTTTATTTACAATATTTCAAATGTGATTCTTTAATTAATATTGTCAATATTGCATATTATTAAAAGTTTTAGTCAAACGTAATAACAAGTAACAAGGACACTTAAATAAATACTGTAAAAAAGTTGCCCCACTTTGAAGAGACATCAATATGCTAATAATCTTATTTTTTTCTTACCTACATGAAATTACTATATCATTGTATATAAGCATTGCTAACATTTCTATATGTATCGAAAACTTGGAACTAACATATGCAATAAAACCATTTTTATTTCGGCCGAGTATCTTTTTTAAAGATATTTCTTGTTATTTGATAAAATGAATAAATATTTCTATTCAACTCTAAAAATCATCGGGATGTGTACAGGGAGACTTTTGGAACTAATTCTTGTATGTGAACTTGTTTCATTTCAGAATATTTCACTTTTTGTTTGACACCATAGGAATGATCCCACGTATGAAATATAAATGTATATCTCCGATTCTTTCTTACTAATTGTCTGGATTGAAACTCAAGACAGACCCTTTTTACAATAAATGGTTGCTTACTGAAATGTTTACATGTCTGTTTAATCCGGAGTGTGACACCAGGATCCAGATTATCCATGAAATATTGAGAGTTAGGTACATAAACAGCATTCGGGTGGTCCTCTGGCAGTTGTCCTTTGTAAAACATTGGTGAATTACTTGTAAAATGAATCTTTGTCCTTTCAGTATCGGCATCTGTTATGTTATTATAGATTTTAAATTGCTTTGTTACATACAGTGGTCCAACGCTGTGAATTGCACTAGCATTCGGTAGAACATTTCGGGCATTTTCTATCAATTGCTTTATAAATGGATGCTTTGGTCTGCATATGATTATTCCATTTTGAATACTGAATTCTATTTTGTAAAGAAGTAAGCTGTGTTCAAAAGGTTCTGCTGGGATAATACATGAATACTTTAAAGTAACTTTATCCAAAGGTCGGAGAACAAGTACATCCAGGTCCGAGTAAACGCCTCCATACTCATATATTGCAACATAACGTAGTAAATCAGCTTTCTTTACACTGTTTCCAAAACCATTGTAAGTCGCTAACAGATCTGGGTGATGTTTCTTTATCAACCGTTCACCGGATTCGAACGTCCAGAATTTGTACTCCCAATCTGGATTTCTGGACACAAATAGTCTAATATTTAAACTGTATGATGCAGGAACATTGATATATGTAAAGATTTGATGAATGATATGCGGGATTGTGCGGTTGTCGGTTTCTGATGTTGGAAATTCCATTTCTTCACTAGACTGTATCATTCTCACTTGGAAAACGTCCACGGATGACGCTGAAAATATATTTTCAATAAGTTACTCTGCATGCTAAAATAAAAGTAATTTTGTGTTTATCTAGAAGTATACAAGTCATTCAAATGTGCGCACACAAAACGTATCAATAGGGTTGTTTTGATTAACATACAAGAGATGTAAAACACTGACAAAAGGAAAATGTTTTCTGCTCTTAATTATGATTATATTTATTCAAATGTATCTACAGGGTATGTAAGTCAAGTCACGTGACTTGCGAGATTTTACGATACTTTGCACATCCGGGTACAAATAAAAATCAACATTTCTAATCTATATAGGTAACACTTGTATGCCGGTGTAAGCAGTATATTGTAACTCTTTTAAAGATACTTTTGATTTTTCATTGCCTTTATAGTACAGCAAGCGTTTTTTAATCAATTAAAGGCACAGTATGCTTCAGAAACAAACACATTTTCTCATCTTCAGAAAGGGCAAACATTGGTTTTAAAACATTTAAGATATATTTTAGAGCATGGTTGATGTTAATCACGCAAAGGAAGTAGCACTGAAAGCGAATTAGTGATCATAAAAGTAGTATAAATGTAAACAAAATAGTACTTTAACCTCCATACAAAATACTAAATTACTGTAACTGTACTTATTGCAAAAATACAATTCAGGTACGTTGTCCAATGAGTAACTTTTTGAAAAACTATCACATGACACATAAAAATAAAAAGATTTTGTGAAATAAAAGTAAAACATTTTCTGGTGCATAATGGGGCTTTAAAACAGTGTGTTTGTTAAAGCAACCAATCTTCAAATACAACTACCAATTATAATACATTTAAGCTACTAGTAAAATATCAAACTTGTTAATTTTTTAACTTACAAAAATGTAGGTATAACTAGAAAAAATACTTTGACTTACCATCGCCTGATTTGGTCGGCCAAAAGTAGAACATAGGCAGAATAACAACAACAAACAGTAGTAAAAAGTATCTTTTCCTTTTAATCATCCTTTGCCAGTTCATTAAGATGTCTGAAATATAAAAATATGCATCAATTAAAAAAGCTGTAAAATGAAATGTTCTGTAATTGTAACCAAACTTCATAAAATTAATGTCAAATGTCAGTGCAATTTCTGATGACGCCAATACCAGTACAGTTTCCGTTCTTAATAATAATAAAAAGTTCTATGACGTCATTTCTCTTGAAGTATAAATCACGTGGTAAATTGATTGTTGTGTAATTTAATAATATCAAAAGTACAAGATTAGTTGAAATGAATAAAATTATTTGAAACGATTACTTACCCAAGTCTTTGTTGTTTTTGTTTGTGTGTTTTTTTGTTTTTTTTTGTTTTTTTTTGTGTTTTTTTTAACGTTAGATAAAACAAAATAGATCTATCTTTTAAAAGTTCTTTTCTGAGACAGATGTTTTAAAATAAAAACAAAAACAAAAAACAACAGTTAGAAGTGATAAAAATTGAAATGCTTTTTAACAGTCATGTTCACACTTAATGAAAAATTATAAAATAAATAAATAAACAGTTGTAGTAATGAAATAGTATCACCCTTTTAGCTAAGAATGAAAAATAAAAGGCATAAACATATGGTTAAGGTATTGTTTTTTATAAATTGGCCACTCTTGAAAATTATTCTTTATAAATCTTGATAAACATTTGTACATGCTCATGCATTTTCATAAGTTTTATATGCATTACCTAATCATTGGAGAGTTGACTCAAGGAAGAAATGCGCTTTAAGAAAACGTTTTAGAATATCACATGAAGGCAGACATAAAGAATTCATGAATATTCAGGATGTTTTTTTTTTCATTTGAGTGAAATATGGAATATATTTTCACGGAACATGATAAAATGCCACATATTTTCACGAGCCGGGACGGCGAGTTAAAATATGTGGCATTTTATCATGTTTTCTCTTAATCAAATTGGTTTGCGGCATTGAAATAGCGGCCTTGTTTCACTGTTTTTGCACGCGCAGTTTTAAAACGTCTGTACAGCGTTAATGACTTAATAAATGATATTGGTGTACGGATTTATTTCTTCTTAGACTTTTTTCTATCATTCTAGATAGTTTTCAAAACAAAATTCAATAAAAAATTGGGTTTTTATTATTTACCAGATTTTTCAAACAAAATGGTGAAAGAAGTCCCCGAAAACAAATATGAGTTTTGACTCCGCCCACTTTCATATTTATATTTCATATTTATTTTTAACAAATATGAAATATTTTTGACTGATAAAGCCCCATATTTCATGGGTTAAATTAAATATAGTCCGTTAAAGGAAAATATAATTAGATTAATTTCATGCTTCTTTGAAAAAAATAAAATTATTTTGTTTGTTATATTGAACAACAAAATGTCAACACTATTTTTGTTTTGTTTTTGTGAGCACGGTGGCACTGAATCGAGGATGGAGTCAAAAAAATAAATTGAATTAATTATAATCGTTTAATTGATAAATTAATTAATTCATTTATTGGGGTGTGCTATTTTGTAATATTGTGAGTAAATCTTGAAGTACAAAAATTCATCATGTATATACTATTAATGAACAATATAGAATACTAAACTACTTAGAGAAAGAATATTTCAGAATGAACATGAAAATAACTTTTTTGAAAGAAGATGAATGAACATGAAAAATTATATTACTGTCTAATTTATTTCTAGGTTACAAATAGAAGATAATTGAACATTATGACTTGATTCGTGTTCACTAAAAGAAATCAATTAAATCAATTTTGCAATTACCTTATTCAGAAATCGAACCTGACCTGGGTTTTGATATAACATACTAACATGCCAAATATAAACACAATCAATAAAAACCTTCAAAAGTTATGCTACGGAAACCAAGTATCTACCGGCAAACGGACAGACAAACAGACGGACGGACAACGCCACACCATAATGCATCCCGAATTTATCTTAAAACATGTTTCCTTTTACGGAACATGGTTATGAAAAAAATAGCACATAAAAAAATATATTTTACATTATTAAAGGTCCAAAAAAGCTAAAACCGTAAAACTTTATATTTTTTACATAGATCAGTACTTTAAAACAGAAAGATGCAAAAGATAATTCAGAAATGTACTCGGAAATAAAATGAAAATCGTCTTTGTATGCTATTTTAAACCAGATTTTTGTGAAAAGCGTTGAACGTTTTTCAATTTTGAGCTATTCTAAACAAACGTAGTGAGCAAACTAAGTAAAATTTTGCACACGAGTAATTTGGTCTATACCTTAATGATGTGGATTATAAATTTCAAGTCCCGTCAATTAAAAAAGACTAAGTGGAGTCCCTTTAATCAGATATAACATTTCATATCATTTCTTTTAATCGATTTCTATTGAAATATGAAACATGTCATTTCATACTATGGACTGAATACTGAAGCGACGTTTTATTGATGTAAGGTTTAGGTTATCAATATACTTTCAGCAATCTGAGCCGCGTCACGACAAAACCAACATAATGGGTTTGCGACCAGTATGGATCCAGATCAGCCTGCGCATCCGCGCAGTCTGATCAGGATCCATGCTGTTCGCTATCAGTTTCTCCACTTGAAATAGGGTTTGTAAGCGAACAGCATGGATCCTGATCAGACTGCACGAATGCGCAGGCTGGTCTGGATCCATGCTGGTCGCAAACCCATTATGTTGGTTTTGACGTGACGCGGCTCATCTAAAGTTGTGTCAAGTTATGTTTAACGTAATACAAAACATTAATTACGTGTACAGACATTTTATACTTCGTATTTCTCTCCCGCAAGGTACGACATTTTATTTATAAAACAAGCCTACTTTTTCTAAAGTACTTTTAAAATAAGTCGGAAAAAAATATGTTTACTTACATCTCTGAAAATATACACCCAATTTTATCCGAGTTCTTTTCATTCTTTTATTTATTTATTTTCAATTTGTTATATTTTTTTAGAAAACAGTGAATTATAGTTATCTGACGACGTCTTAGCATATATCACAAAAAATGTTCTAACAAACAACCTTCAAATTGTTGAAATCAATTTATGTATCTGTATATTGCATTCAGATTGAAGGTGTTAAAGTTAACGCGTATTCAAATGATCTTTATTAAAATATTTCAAGGTTTGGAATAGAAAACGTCCTATTCATAACATATTGAAACGTGAATTGGTCTATAGTGAAAGGTCTTTTATTACAGTAATAGTTACGTTTATAGCTTTTAGTATTTGATTTTATATCAATCACTAAAGAAGAATAATTTATATGGACGTTGTTGTCAAATTTATACTTTATTTAAACAACATTATATAAAATACATGTATACAGCCATGCCATAAGAATTATAAGAGACTAAACATCTAAAACATAATAGCATAAATGTTAAAAATCAGTAAATCTATTCAAAATAACCAGCGTTCTAAAAGAATATTGAGATCTATGCACTACTAGAATATTGGAAAACTATGGGAAATGTGACCATTGTATACCTATCCACTTAAATCAATACTTTTAGGAAGGATTGATTATTCAAACAAATCAAACACAAATGAATATGTATCCATTTACCGAAAAAAATAACAGAAATCAAAAGCATTGTCAAAAAATCTTATTTAGATTTAAACAAAGGTTACTATATGTTATTTTGGTTTTGGAGTGATATTATGTGATTTATATCACCCGAGCCGGTAGGCAAGGTGATATTTTATCTTGGAAGGTAATATATCCACATATATCACTCCAAAACCAAAATTATAATTTTATTATCCTTCCCCTGCCGAGTAGGACGATTTTAAAATAAATCATTGCCGATTCAAATGAAACGTCGAAATAAGATTCCCTTTAGATACCCCTTCAGCGCAAATTGACGTCACCGGAGCGCAACATCGAACCTTACGCGCATCGTCACGGCGCATGTTGTCTACAACGTGGGGTATCCAAAAGGGATATTTGATGTGTGTATTACCTGTCTAGCTCGGTAATATCAATTTTTTTCGGCGGATCAATATCCAATCAAAAAAAGGGAGGGGGTGGGCACTTGGTGTTAACTTATTTCGAAAGGGGCATGGCCATTAACGTAGTCGTGGTTAAAATATTTTTAACACGTTTGTTTATGTTTTCATTCTTATAGTCCTGTACGTATATCAATTATTGTCATACATTGCTTTATACTACACAATACATAACACCAAAGACACGTCAAAACAAATCAAATCATGTTCACGGTGTGTGCCAAAACTGCAATATAACTTCAATTAAATAATTTCATGAACAATTAACTAATTGTTCGAAACTGTTACAGCATGTACGAGGCATCGCAGATACGATCTCTCGTATTAGATTGTACTTGTTACCATTGACCCTCCTGGATTTTTGTAACAGATTTGCACTTGATTATTTTTCTAACTGCCCATTCAAAGTTTAGGGGACTTCGATACGAATCTGCAAAAATTGCGCTACTAATGTCATAACTTGGTTAGACTGCACGAATGTACATACCGGATTGGCTCGACACTGGTGGCAAAGACTACTCCAGGTCCTAAAAGGTTAAGCAACTGTGCAGAAGTTTATTTTTGAAGATGGTAATTAGCAGTAATATCCACTTGCATAGATAACTCATTTTGATTTTTAAGCCATTTGCACGTGTTTAAACGTTATGGGTTTAAGTACACCGTGTCATGTGGAGACTTACAGCTTGACACCCCCACTTGCTGTTTCAGGTACATGAAAACATCCGAGTAGAACCACAGAGCTTCCGTATAATAGCCGAATGGCTACCACATATGAGCCGCGTCACGACAAAACCAACGTAATGCATTTGATACCAGCATAGATCCAGACCAGCCTGCGCATCCGCGCAGTCTGGTCAGGATCCATGCTGTTCGCTATCAGTTTCTGTACTTGTAATAGGGTTGGTAAGCGAACAGCATGGATCCTGATCAGACTGCGCGGATGCGCAGGCTGGTCTGGATCCATGCTGGTCGCAAACGCATTACGTTGGTTTTGTCGTGACGCGGCTCATATAAAAACAAAGTTATTGGCGGGATCAGTGCCAAAGAGGCGGAGGGCCAGTTATCCAATAACAGCTACAATTAACACTTGGTCATGGAACAGTCATGAAGGAGTATGAAACAGATACACATAGATGGATAGACGTAAATTTTTATTTGAAATTAAGAACATAATAACATAAAATGCATATTAATAAGCAAGGTAGCACAACAAGTACAATGTACATGATTATATCTTTGTTTATTTGTACATATACAAAATCCAATTTAATAAGTATCATGCTTAATTGATGTAACTGTCATAGTGAACAATCACATGTTATTAATGAAGAAAGAACAATAGAACAAATAAACCGCAGACATATTTAATGTAAAGACAATACTTTAAAATGTTAACATATGTGTATTTCTGCGTAAAACACAGAATATAAATTGGCAAAAAAAAAAACAACATTTATGAAATCAGTCATTTATTTTGAGCACATTATAAGCACCTAAAAGTGGTAATAAATCAAGTTTAGAACGATTTTCTAGAAAGCTATCAAGCTTATAAACATACCTTGGTATCCGTTCCTGGAACCAACCAGTACTGAACCATAAGAGTCCAGTTTTTTATCAATAACTTAACAAGTTGTGTTTCTTGTTACATGATAAATAACATAATTCCATATTACATATGGCAAATACAAAAATGACATGAATGATTGACCTTACAGAAAACAAGTTAGCATATTAACCATCTAAGTGTGAAGCTTCCTGCATTGAGCCTGAACCCGCTACCTGAGGCCAACAATCCTACTATTGAAAGTCTCATATCAGCAATCCTTAGATTACTAGTGCAATCCTTAGATTAATAGAGTGCAATCCTTATATTACTAGTACAATCCTTTTATAAGCAATCCTTTGATTACTAGTGCAATCCTTATATTACTAGTGCAATCCTTTTATTACTAGTGCAATCCATATATAAGCAATTTTTAGATTACTAGTGCAATCCTTAGAAATTTTTTTTTTTATATTGCACTAATTACTAGTTCAATCCTTTTATTAGCAATCATTTGATTACAAGTAAAATCCTTCCATTACAAGTGCAATCTTTTTATTACTAGTGCAATCTTTTTATTTCTTAGTGCAATACTTATATCAGCAATTTTTAGATTACTAGTGCAATCCTTAGAAAAGACATTCTGATATTGCACTAATTACTAGTTCAATCCTTATCTTAGCAATCTTTTTATTATTATTTATATATGCAATCCTTTCATTACTATTGCGATCCTTATACATATATAAGCAATCCTTAGATTACCAGTAAAATTCTTATATTATACTAGTGCAATACTTTTATTAGCAATCCTTTGATTACTAGTGAAATCTTTATATTACTACTGCAATTCATTTATCATCAATTCTCAAATGACTAGTGTGATCCGTAGATTACTACTGCAATCATTAGATTACTATTGCAATCCGTAGATTACTACTGCAATCATTAGATTACTATTGCAATCCGTAGATTACTACTGCAATCATTAGATTACTATTGCAATCCGTAGATTACTACTGCAATCATTAGATTACTATTGCAATCCGTAGATTACTACTGCATTCCTTAGATTACTATTGCAATCCGTAGATTACTACTGCAATCATTAGATTACTATTGCAATCCGTAGTATACTATTACTAGTGCAATCCTTACATTACTTTTACAATCATTAAATTACTGTAACAATCCTTAGATTACTATTGCAATCCTTACATTACTTTTGCAATCCTGAGATTACTGCCGACATGTTACTTGAAGTATATGGTCTTATTTATCATTATAAACTATTCCATGAGGATGTAGATGATATATAAGATAATGGAACAGGTACATGTCCTGGGGAGGGACATAGTGGAATGATACTGCATAGTCACTCATTGATTCTTCTCCCTGAAATATTGATAAACAGAACATCAAGATATACATTTAGATTCTATGTAAATGATATATAATCATTTGACATTTTAGAGCTGATCCACTAAACAAATGAAAAATATGTGATGTCAAAATTAACATATTTATATAAGTGAACAAAATCAAAGGATAAATATTTTGATAGAAAATATAGCTTGTTGTTAGAAAACATTTATAACCGTTACCCCGCCGCCAAAGATCTTAAATGATCTTTCAATCTGGACTAAACGAGTCAAATTGTTTAATAAGTACTGACTGAATAGTATACAGGACAGACCGTTATCAGACGACTGATCTTGGTCACGTGATTAGATTCAATTGCTGCCAGTAGGCTAAAGGTAGTGATATTCTTTTTAATGAGTATATTCATTCCAAGAAAACTATTGGGGTTTCTTATGATCTTATGTCATTTTATAGTAATTGTATCTATTTCATGTACACCATTTTATTGACCAAACACCTTTTAAAATTGAAGGGAATAAAAAATCATAAAAAAGAATGATTATGGTTTAGTTATGGTTCTGTGACTCACCATTTTAGCTCCATTAGCGTCATATGGTTTATACCATGACGGGTACTGGCCAATCACGTGAGCTTCTGGATGAAAGCAGTGAAATCTACTTCGACCATACTTATCAGTTGAATTCCCAAGACGAACACCAATGCTTTGCATGCAAGCACCGAAATCAACATCTTCAGCTGCATAACTTGTATTGCACAATTTAGGATCTTGGCCATATTTACCGTACAAACTTAACGCTTCTTTACTTAATACATAACCCGCACCTCCGCTTGTAAAACCTTGTTTTAATATGGTTTTAAAACGGTGGCCAAAGAAGACTGGTGTGTTTGGGTCTTTGTCCGATAAGAAGTATCTAAGATTTTCTAAAATTACGAAAGTATCATCATCTGCTTTTAAAAACCACTCGGCGTCGTTGAAATGATTTTGAAATATGTAAGTTAATGCGTGCAATGTTTTTCCACTTAATTTTAGATAGCCTTCCTCTGTGTCAAGTCCTATTGCAGGAAATGTATCGTCTGTTTTAGAACTGAAGAATAAAAGTTTGTTGCACTTATGTCCCCATGTTCGTCTAACATGTTCAGCCTTCAGTGTCAAGCTTACATGTGTTGTAAGTACAAAACAAAGCACACGGATCTTTCGATGCAGTCCTGTAAAGTTAGCGTTTGTTTCTGAAAAATGAAACAATCAAATGATTATTTTAAGACTTACGTACACAGCAGACGACAAAAGTACTTTTGCCTTGTTTATGTGTCTGAACTTTGAAAACAAACTGCAAGGTTAATTCAAAACACAATTAAATATTTGCGTGTACTGTAGACAATATATCGGTTGCAATATAATTCCAAAAGATATTATTGTCAAATCATTCAATATCCAGACCTGACCTGCTGACTGTATAATGGACTTTCCTTGCCTTCAATATGGAACAATCCATTCAAATTTTAAGAGATTTCAATATCAAAATACAAATAAATACAGTTTCCTACAGTATACAGCCTGGTCGGACGGATATTCCTACTGATGGCAAAGGCTAACCACTTCCGGTTCTAGAAGGTTAAAGGTTAGCTGTCACGTCATTGTTTAAATGAAGTAAACCTACCTCTGATATAACTGTTATTAGATGTCGCTGTTTTCTTCATCAGTGTATTAGCTCGAGGAATTGGTCCAATGTGCTTCTCTAGCATTGTTTGAAGACTAAACGCAGGTATTTCATCTATTGAAAAATGAACACAAGGGTTACATATAAATACATACTTATTTAGCATTTAATAAACATACTTTACACAACTGATAGATTGGAGAATGCTTTAAAATATTCTATTAGTGCTAACGGGTAATTATGTAAAAACTTGCGAAAATGAAATAAAATGTCAATTTTCATTAACATAGTTATGACGTGTGTAGCATTTAAAGGTTTTGTACAAAATCAATGAAACTTAAAAATTATCTTCAGTTAGGATCTATCAAACATAATTAAAATGAACATGTATAAAAACAAGGAACGACAACTCTGTATCACAATTTGAAGATGCAAACGCAAATCAATAAAGTGACTTATTTAATTGCTATGATCATAGTTCAAATCATTTACTATTAATCTGCCAAATTTGTGTAATTAATTTGCCATGTTCTGAATTTTGAAGATTTAAAGTCATTCAATCTTTAGAACATTTCAATATAAGGCCTAAACTACAAGAACGGCTACCAACAGTATAGAGCCTGGTCAGACTACGGATGGGCAGACTTGTCTGGCTCTATACTTTTCAGTTTTGATTCCAACAGTTTAATATAAAGACTGGTTGGTGGAAAAACTTCCATTCCTTTGATGTTTTTAAACTTTGTACATAAAAAAACTATGCAACCGTGCTGTGTATTATCACCCGTGGTGACCCCATTCAAAAATTTACAAAAAAACGTGAAAATAACAATTTTTTATATAAAAAGATATATTTTTGTTACTTAATTCTTTTGAAATTATTAATCGTTTTTAAAAAAATATGAAATCTTTTTAAATGTTATATTAAGAAAAAAATTACTGCTTATTTTTAAAAACGTACATTTTAATGTGTTTGGAAGAGTCTGAATGATGGAATGTGTTTACGGGCCCAAATACGGAATAAAAACATGTTAAAAAGGAATTTAAAGAGATATCAAAAATTTTATATTTGGGGCCCTATATAGAAAAACAGGGAACCCAGGAGTGTGGGGCAAACAAAACGAAAATTTTAAAATAAATAAAAACCCCCTTATGACATATTCGTGATTTGTCGCCAATAACTCTGAATAGGAACGTCTTCATTTTTATCTTAAACATCCTTCCTTTTCTCCACTGCCATGCCATCTACTGTATGTCAGAAACATTTCGTTTTTGTGACATTACAAATAAAGATATTATCTAATAACATTCACACAGCGATACACGAACACTTTAACGTCACGAAAATATGTTTTATATGTGTTATTAACACCGTAAGTCACCATTTATGGATCGATTTTTAAGTCCTCATTTTACAAACCAATATGTTCATATTGTGTTTATTGAACGTATCGGTTACTATGTCACTATAAATAGCACAATACACACTGCGCAGCGTGTGTAAAATATTATGTAGATTTACTAATAATTTTACACGTTTACGGTTTACTGTCCATATTTAAACTAATTTAAACTATTTCTCTTGCATTTATATTTTTATTACACAACATATTTATTCATTTATTGACAACATTCAACCTGTTGTTTTTTATTGATTCATACATTTATATAATGATATTGAATCAGTGCTTAGTGCCACATCATTAATTTTATTTCGTTTGGGAAATTCTATGGTTAGATAAATCTTCTTCATTATATTACTTTTAACAAACAAACAAAAATGAAATAAAAAAGTAAAATAAAAAGAAATATAAAGCTAACATGTCGGGTAGATCTAGAGCTAGGCCTACGTACTGTATGTCAAAGTAAAACAAATTAGGATCTACAGTAGATCTTAATTGGATTTATTTTTATGAATTTTAATTTAAGATTTATAAATAAAACGGTGTACCTATAGTCAATTCAGGTAAATAATGTAATTTAATAAAAATATACAAATGTAGCCCAAGAATGCAATAATCTTGAGTACATTTTAATGTGATAAGAAAATATATCTATGACAAATTGAAAAAAAATGTTTCTTAAATTTATATATTTTTATATATTATAAAGCAAGCAACACATTAAGTTTTTTTACATTATTTTTTGTATTATTATTAAGAAAGAAGTCTTCTGCCAAACTGGCAAACTTCTAAATAATTTGCAATCATTATACATATACGTACATGTACATTTTATATATCAGGCCGAGTTAGATCTTTTTTAACGGTGAACCATTATATTTTTCTGTATGTTCTTGTTTGTAGAAAAAACAACAACAAATTTTGTGTAAAGTTTGAATAACTAACTAGAGCTATAACTATTATATAACATTGGGTAGATTTTACCGAAATATGAAAAATAAAAGAAAACAAATAAAAACAAAAACATCTACCGCTATATAGATCTAAATGATGACTTTCTTTTGCCCTTTTTTTGCCTTTTTTTTTGTTTGCTTTTTTAAATGGCCGACAAAATTGAAAGTCTATATCTAGCCTGTTACTTCTGCTTCTTATTGAATAAATTTTGATATATTTGTGACATAACAGGGAATGAGTGAAAGATACATGTTGACCAGTATCAATTAGTTTATGATATGTTCGATCTCTGTTTTACCGTAAGTACTGGATGGTCAACGTGCTACCGCGAGTAATAGAGTGCACCCAACAGTAACGAGGGGCACATGGGGCAGTCGGTTCGAAATTCGGCTACTTATAGGCCTATTTACTGTTAACCTCTCGGTCACGAGGTGTTTTTAATGTCCTAGTTCACTTTTAAAAAAATTTTAATGAGAAAAAAAACACTTTACTTAACATGGTAATTTTGTATTATATAAGAAAACTTAAATAAGAAGGTCCATATGAAAAAATAAAATAAAAATTACAGCGTGAATAACCTGTTACTAATATAACTCTATTTAAAACATAAATCCAGGAAATTTAACACGGTTTTTCCTTCGTAATTTTAGTAAAGTAAAAACCCGGGGGCCATTCTATATATTCTTACTAGTACACACTGTATGGACTGTTCTTCTGACAATAAACCCGTTTGGGTGAAAAAAATTTGCGGTCTTATAGTCAATGCTTATTAATGCATGTAAAATTATTGAAATATGACTCTTATTTCAAAACCTAGCCGTTTAAAGTGTGTTTTATGTGTA